GGAGCTTGACTAACCATTTTGCTGTGGCACGATATGGGGAATTACACATGTCTAATACTGGTCGAAGTGGCACACCAATTTTGTGCACTTTTGGAAGTCCATATAATCTTGGTGTAATCGTGCCAGTAGGCTTCAGAGATTCATATAGACCTTCTATGATGCTGCTTTGTTGTTTAAGTCTTTTTAGTGACTCGATTAGCTGTTTCTCCACTTTTTCTGTTGGATCGACGGAAGATGTGATTTTTTGAAATTTCCGATGATCACTGAGTATTCTATTCATCTTATCTATGTATTCAGTCTTATTCATTATTACTACTCCAAAGCCTATATCAGGTTTCGAAATTATTGTATCTTCATTATTTCGCAGCTTATCTAGGGCTTCCCTGTGTTTCTTCGTCAATAAGCTTTTCTGTCTCCGTTTACTATTTATATGTTTATAACAACAGTCGAAGAGAGTTGATTTAAGACTTTCAACTGCCTCAGATGATGAGGGTGTCAATCCTTCAGTTTGTGCATAAAAGTTTTCAAACTTGACTTGCATATCCATCTTATCAATTCTAACGTGATTATCACAAAACTTAGAGCCTAGGGATAATACTTGCAAATCAGTGTCATCAAGAACAACATCAGAAAAATTATAAACATACCGACCAGGGTTTGGCGGAAATCGCATTTCTGGAGTTTTGCTTTCCAGGCTTTGTAATAATTTGGTACGTTTCTTTTCCCTTCTTTTGCCAGAAACTTCATTCACATAATCCAGGAACTGTAATCAACCTGTGCACACGCTTATTACTTAATTGCTCTTCATTTTTCCTAAGTTATGCATTATTTATTTATTTATCAGGTCAGTATGTCAGAGGGTGATTGATGATGCATATTCATTTCCAACCGGACATTAATAAAACAAGACAAGTAGTTTGGAAAATAGGCTCTTTTAGGTGAATTCATTTTTCCCTCTAGCCCTATAACAGCGTTTATGTACAATTTCGTTTCCAATGTAAGAGGATAGTAACAAAAGTGATGAGTTGTCACAAATGTAGTTGTTAATACATTTGTTAATGCATAAAAGGAGTTGAAGAGGGAAGGATGTTACAAGTACCTGAAAGGATGAATAATCTAATGAATAACTTGTGGTCAGGATTCCCACAGATACGAAGGAAGATATGGGATTATATAATAGGGAGTTAAAAAACCAACTAACAACAATCAAGCCAGTAGAAGTCAATAGAGTTGTCACCATGATAATGAAAGTGGTTGAATAATTTTATTTTGCATACATAGACCCGAGTTGAATACGTTAAGCTTTAGAAATGCACAGAAGATACGAAAGTCTACAGTCTTCCACAGGTTATTCTTCACTTTGTAAATTAGTTTGGAGAAGGTATTCGTTAAAATGGAATGAAGAGTGTTGACCGGGTATTTGATTATCACACTCATTTGTTCGTCGGTGGTTATGATGCTCACCGAGCATGCACATGATTCGGGGTTCGATCCCCGCCACAGACACTCTCCTTTACCTCGCTAGGCCAGAAATAAAGTTGGTAAAGAGGAAATGTTGGGCACAAGGCTAGCAACCCCATCCTGTAAAAGTAAACTCCACTGCTACAGAAACTTCAAGCTTCAAATTTGAAGCCCTATGTTCCACTGGGAACGTGAAGGAATAAAGATATATTGATACAGCCAGTACTACCTCTCTGCAAACATGGGGGACAAGATACTCGTCTAATGACCAATGTGCCTGGTTCCATAGCAATAGATGAGCTAATATACACACACAGTAGTAGTTAGATGTGAGGTATTGTCTTTCGGGCTTCTAGGGAACATAAGGGTCAACGTTGCTTCAAAAACCTTTTCGAGGAAGCTTAAGTTCTCCTCTTAAAACAGTCAAAGTTCATGCAAAGTTTCTTTTCCGTCACAGGTGACATTTCTTGTCTTTGAATATTGTGCTTGATGTTCTTGTCAGCAAATTTTGTTGAATATCCGTTCTACATGTAGATTTCTTTCAAAAAGTGGAATTCTTCTTTCAGGGCTGTTGGTGTGTCAGACGCCAATATTTATTTTTTTTATTTTTGATTTACAGCTTGATTCCACACCGTATTTTTGGTACAAGTGTGGAATTTTCACCATGGATATCCGTAGCCCAAATTTTGCAGGCCGACCATAGATATCAGGGGTGCTACGGCAGAGGATCGAACCTCGGACCATGCGCATGGTCGGCGAGAGTCCTAACCACTGTGCCACCGACGCACAGAGATAATAATCATGTTTCCTTTACGACTAATTATTAATACACTTATTCAACTCTACTTTATGCCTTGACTAACATTAACAATTATGACTGTGACAACTGATCACTTCAGTTACTACTCTCTTTCATATAGACTATAGAGCTAGGTAAAATATTAAGTCAAATCATCCTGGAGAGAATAAAGGATGCACTGGGTACAGAACTCCGCCATCCAACGAAACAAGCTGGTTCGATTAGGGAAAGGAAAATCATCTTCTGATCAAACAGAAACTCCACTGATCGTTATCACAGAACAAAACATTCAATGGCAGTCAAACCTCTACCTCGACTTCATCGACTTCGAAAAGCCTTCGTCAGACAGTGTTGAGCAAGAAGTAATTTGGAAACCACTTCAACATTACGGCGTGCAGTATCTAAAGCCTTTATCAACTTCACTCAACAGCTGGCTATATGACAATGCCACGTGTCAAAAGATCCACAACGGAAAATTCAGTGAGGCGTTCGATGTGCATCCAGGAGTAAGACAAGGCTGTCTATTATCACCAATGATGCTCCTAACTGTGGTGGACTGGATTATGCATCAGACTGCTGAGGGCGAGGAGTCAGGAATACACTGGATGACCTATAAAAAGACTCTAGAAGATTTGAATTTCGCTTGTGGATGATATATGTCTAATGTCACACAAACTAGATGACATGTAGGTAGGCGAAAACCAACAAACTGGCAGAAGAGACTGGCAGCGAAAACAGGACTGCGGGTGAATACAAAGAAGACGGAGGCGATGAAGGTAACCAATTAACAGCAACTACGACCAGACCCAATCACCAGACAGAGACTCAAAGGAGGTTGCTTCCTTCACTTATCTGGGAAGCATCGTTTCAACAACAGGCCGGCGGAACGAACGGAGATGTTGAAACCAGTCAGAATCGGAAACTCAAGATACACAAGCCTTCATCCACCTGAAATCAGTTTGGAAATTTTCTGTTGTCACTCAGCAAAAGCAACAAGATTCACATTTCCAACACCAGTTTGAAGTCAGTCGATCCTTCTATATGAGTCAGCAACTAACACTATGTGTCAGATAATGGATTTCCGACAGGATGCAGATTTTCATCAACAGCTGCCCTATTCCCTGGCTGGCTCCATAATGAAAATCAAATGGCCAGCCAGCCAGAAAGGATTTTTTTCCTTCACGCTCCCAGTGGAACATAGGGCTTCAAACTTGAAGCTTGAAGTTTCTGTAGCAGTGGCGTTTACTTTTACAGGATGGGGTTGCTAACCTTGTGCCCAACATTTCCTCTTTACCAGCTTTATTTCTCGCTTAGCAAGGTAAAGGAGGGCGTCTGTGGTCCAGATTGAATCCCGGACCATGTGCATGGTCGCCGAGCGTCCTAACCTCCATGCCATCGACGCACAGAAAGAATTAGCAACAAGAAACTCTGGCTTGGAAAAAATCAACAGGCGAGAGCCGATCACTCAACAAACGTGTGGGAGGAAGTGGAGATGGATTGATCGAGCATACATTGAGGAGGCCGCCTAATGACATCGCACTTAATGCAGGCCAGTGCTCGAGTGGAATTCCAATGGGAAGCGAAGAGTGGGTCGTCAGTGTGGGGCTGACATGGAGAAGACCGTGTGAGGAAGAGATGAGAGAGTTTAGTCAATCATGGACCCAGCTGAAAGGGGCGGCAAAAAACAGAATGAAGTGGAGATGTGTTGTTGAGACCCTATGTTCCACTCAGGACCCAAGGGATTAATAATAATAATAACGAATTGGTAGAAGTTGGAATTCATGAGCCATGGATTGGAGTCCCAGTGAGTGGCTGAATTATATTCGAGCCAGTTTGCCTTGTAACCGGAAGGTCCTGGGTTCGAACCCTGATAGGTGCGTACTGGTGACGATGATCTTCATACTAGAATGAAACAGCTATCCAGTACTTCCTGGTTTTCAATGGTTCTCTAGCTGACATCAATCCATGATCAACTCTTAAAACTCGCAAAACTAACCCTTATAAACCAAACTATAGGAAATAAAAATAATAATAATAACAGAGCTAGACAGGAAAATGAATCCACGGAAAAGAGCCTCTTCGTGCTGAACTACTTGTCTGCTTTCCACTGATATATATTCACTTCCTTTGGTTGAAGCCAACTGGACTCTATCACTCCACATTTTCACTTGTCTGTTTCCAGACAAAAATAACTTGAATATTTTTCAATGCCTGAATTCATTTCATTTATAAACGAAAATAAGTAGAAAACATTTCTTCTGAGTAAAAAATATTTTTCAAAGATTTTTGAGTTTCTATTCCATACTACTGACCTGATTCAAAGTCTTTTCTTATTGAATCACACACGCGTGATTATATCTATACATTTATCGTTTGACTTGCTAATCTGTCTTCACCTTTTATCCTTAACATAATATTGAGTGTACTACTCGAATAGGTAAACTTCAATCTACTGAGCCCCTGCCTGCCTTTGAACGAGTTTTCCTAAGAATAAATATCAATATCGATTAGATAAGATTTTACTATAATCTATGATCTTTTATATACATATATGTGTGAAAAATATAGATCCTTCCTGGTTGATCGAATCAATTCTACCCTCCTTATGGATAATACTTTTAAAGAATATAAATAGGGGTTAAGCTAACCTTGTTTATTTTTCAGTAATAAACGCAAATGAAATTAGTATATGTAAGTCAGTGAGTAATTATTCAAAACTTTACTTCATTAGATTCTTTTAATGTTACTTGTCATTGGATTTAGTACAAGATATGCTCAAGGTAGGTTATATATATATATATAGTCTTGCATGTTTACAAATAGCTTTTCTTTCTGATATACATTCAAAAGTGACACTTTTTTATTACCTATTATTGTTGTTGTTTACAGAAACACCATGTTCCTGTTCTCCAGGATGTCCTAATTGTCGAAATTGTAAAGGATGCCCTGGATGTCCTAGATATCTTGATCCATTCCCAGGAACAGCAACATGTTCGTATAAAAAGTGATGAATGTAGAAGAACTACAAGTTAAGCCTTAGTAAATTTATACAACAATCAATAAAACTTATTAACTTAAAATATTGACATTTTCTTTTGTGAGGTATACACATATTTTGATGTGGTTGTGTTCTCTGAGCAAGATAGTTAATTTGCAAAGCTTTCATCGCCTTATTGGGCAACATACTTCAATTTGAAGTGAGCTTTTAGATTTCTCCACGAGTTTATTAATCATCCCTCCTGGTGACCTTGGATGTGATTGGTTGTTTATGTGTGTTTTCACATCAACTAGGTTACTTGTATTGGAACTGAGTGTTTCTTTGACTTGAACTTTGACCCTGTGTATGTCGGATTTCCTTCTTATTGGTTGGTAAATTGTGTCAATCTCAGTGTGTTTATTGATTGATGATTCGCCGGAATGCCAAGCTTCTAGAAATTCCCTAGCATTCTTGTTGTTTCCTCTGTCTAATATTTAAACGTTGTCCCAGTCGAATTGATGTCCATGGTTGTCTGTATGTAGTGATATGAGGGAGTGGATATCATGTTTTTTGACGGCTAGATTATGTTCGTGGATACGAAGACGAAGGGGACGTCCACTTTGGCCAATGTAATGTTTTTCGCAGTTGTTACAGTTTATTTTGTAGATGATGTTGGTTTCATCTTCTTTCGCTGTTGAGTCTTTTGGTTGACATAGAGCTGAGTGAAGTAACTTTTTCGGTATGTGTGTGACATCAATTCGTATAGGTTTGAAGAGTCTTGTAGTGATTTCTGAGATATCCTTTATATATGATAAGGCGATTTTCTTTGTGCTTTCTTTGGGGGCTTTTTTTTTTGATAGGTTGGCTTTGTGGTATATGTCTTTTGATGAAATTCTGTGGATATCCATTCTTTTGGAAGACGTCTATGAGATAATTTTCTTCAATTTTCCTTAAGGTGACAGTGCTGCGATGAGTCCTTGCTCTCTTGAATAGTGTTTGTATGCAATTCCTTTTGTGTGCTATTGGGTTGTTGCTGTTGTAGTTCAGTATTTGGTCTGTGTGAGTTGATTTCCTATAAACTTGAGTTTCTAATTCCCCTGTGGTTGTTCGCTTGACTAAGACGTCCGAAAATTGGATTTTATTCTCTGATTCCTTTTCTCTTGTGAATTCGATGTCGCTGAAGACGTTTTTTATTAAGTTGTGAGTTTTATCTAACTCGCTTTTTTGATTATCACAAATGTGTCGTCGACGTAACATATCCAAATCTTGGGTTTGATCTTTGATAGAATTATGTTTTCGAGCCTTTGCATCATACACATATTTTTTGTTATTAATGTTCTCTTGGATTCTGAGGGTAAACTGGGGATTCAAGAGCACATATCAACTTTTTCCTGTTCTCTGAGATCCTCCTAAGCTAGACTCATGATGTCCCACAAGAGTTTGTATTCGACTTGCACGATCTCCTTCACACCAAGCTCACCGTCTCACATTCTTGTACCGTTCAAACAAAAACATGAAGTGTAATGTTTCTCAACTGTTACCTGAGCGCCTGTACGATCCATCGCCACTATCTTTGAGATATTTCTTGAACAGTAGGTTCTTGATTAGTTCTTTCTTAGAGTTTCTTAATAAATAATTCTTTCTGGCAGGTCATCTGATTATTACTATGGAGCGAGCGAAGTCAGATTTTAATAAAACTCTGCGGTATCCCGTTTAAATGTTGTTCCTGAAGCGCGTGCCCTTTGGAAGAAATGACTGGCTTGACATAGGTATTTCAAATCCCAAATTTTGCTGTTTATCCTGAATGCAGTAGATATTCACATTGAATTCAGCCTGATGATGATCTGTCTTGCCTTTCCTAACTTGGCTGCCATCAAATGCTGGGGGTGCATTTGTGCCTGACTTTTACAGCCTTTAAATTCCAAAAGAAAATATACAAACAAACTTAGGGAATGACCACGGGATCCCCAACATCCCCGGTTTTGGCAAATATATTCATGGATAGGTAGGGAACATAGCAATTGAAACGTTCACTTTAACCCTAAAAGTATGGTGGAGGTATGTAGATGACACATTAATTGTATGCAGAACACAGGATATAGATAGATTTTCCTAACACAACAACTCAAAGGTGAAGGAAATTCAATTCACTTATGAATTACAAAGTCAGGAAGGGGAACTTCCAATGTTAGATAGCAGCATAAAAAGAAAAGTAGATGGGAGGTTAAACACTGGTTTATAGGAAACCCACTCATTCAAATAGATATTTGGACTTCCGATCATCCCATCCTATGTCAGTGAAAATAGGACTGGTGAAATGTTTAAGTGACAGCAGGGTACAAAATCTAAGTAGTACCAAGGGAAATCTAAGACAGGAAGTGAGGCATGCAAGAGAAGCCTTGAAGCGTAATAATTACCGTGATAAATTAGTCAGAAAGTATGTAGGGAAATGTAAAAATAAAATAAATAATGATAGTAATGATAATAATAATAATAGTAATATTATTGACGACATGCATGTCAAACATGCACAGGATAATCACAATACCAACAATAAAGAATGTAAATCATCAGTAGTAATTCCATACAAGGAAGGAACCTCGGAAAGCTTACCCAGAATTCTTAACAAACCAGGAATAAAAGTGGTCGGCATTGAAATCCACAACCTCAACCAGAAACAAGCTTTGTCGGTTAGAGGATCACTCCTGTGGAGCCTTTAAAACAAAACCATTTAGTTTATCTAAACCACGCCTGCAATGATTTTCAGATCAAGTGCATAGATCAAACTAGTAGAACAGGGGCAGTCAGACTAGTCGAGCATAAAATCCTAGCAAAATCTTGATTAGTTGACCCTAATAAGATGAGAAATCCAGAGAATATTTCAGCTATAGAAAGCACAACATGCAATCACACACACATAACCATACCATAGGATGGGGTGAGATGACAGTTTTAAAATCTGAGTAGCAGCAGGATGGAGGAAGAAATTGATAACTGAAGCTCTGTTTGTCAAATCAAGTCCAAATACATGTAACAGGAATGATTCAACACCTGTCCAGTCGGATATCTGGAAAATTCTACTACCCCAACGACGACAACTAGGCGAGAACAAAGAAAACTATAAAACTGAAGTTTCGAATTTGTGTGATTATAACTGATATGATTATGAACAATAAATAAATTTTTGTTCAAAACGTCAATGTCCAGTAGATAATACTGTTTCACTGTGTCATACATCTAATAAACAAACTAATATGGAATGGCTTCGAAATCCTCATCTATGGTGAAAAGATGAATTTTTTGTTTCCCAAACTTTTTTTAAATTTTTTTCTGGATTTTCAAGTTTGATTAATTCATACTCAACTATTAAGAATGACTAACCGCAAGAATTACAATCGCTACATTTTACATAGTCCCACATGAGTTTATTCGTCGCCTAAATAGAGGTGTGGTAACAACTTGTATTGCCCTATTGAGTGATCCAAGTTCAAATCAATGTGAACGGGCAATAAGTTTGAAAACAGTATTTTTGTTGAGCACTGACAAGTATGCATTTTCTGTCCAGGATCTCCTGGGGTTTAACGACTTCACATCAGTACCAAGGGAAGTGTGGTGAAGTCATTTATTTAGAATTCAACCAGGATTACGGACTAGGGGATGCGACATTTACTTGTTTTCTAGTGACCTAGATGTTAACCTGTAGTGTTAACTGTTTATCTCTGGCGCTTTGAATAAACTGCATACACAAATATATTTCCTTTCTAGCTATTAACTCACTGACTGAAATGATACGCCTTTAGTAATATACTGACTCTGAACTTTAAAATATTGTGTTTGGCATAAGTGTCACCAAATGAATCAGCACGTCTGAGCTGATGAATCTAAATGGAATGAAAAAGGTGTTTGAGATTCCACTAATAATCCAGGAAAATTTCCATCAGGATAGTGTAGAGATAGGAAGTTCAGCAGCGATTTCATTCTCAAAAGCGGCTCTACAATTACAATTATACACATAAGTTTATATAGACACAGTTATTCTGATTTAATTCTGACGTTTCAGTGCATACAGCAGCGGCTTCTGCAGTATAGAAGAATAAGAATGGTTGATTTTCGTATACTTTGTAAATAACTTTGAATGCTGTGACAAGTGTGCTGACGAGGTGTTCAATTGTGGTGCTTCTGATTTAACCTATGGCTTCCTCTTTACGGCTATGCTGGGTAATGTTCTATAACATATTTTGAAATGACCCGCACACAGAACGACTTATGCACCTAGCCCCACACAAGCAAATGAAGTGATACATGCACATTGGAGTGATCATATTAGGAAGTTTGTCGTTCACACTGCTTCTTAGCAGTATGAAAGGAAAGGTCTTCTCCAGGGAGCTAGAAATTCCCCTCTTAAGGATAATTATGAATACCTTATTTAGCCTATATTTTCTAAGAAATTTCTCTACATATTACGCGACCTTCTTTCTGGGATTGTAAATATTTTTATGAATAATCTTCAGCTTTTATCCCGTCTGGAACTTATCGTGTATTCATTTAATTTGAAACTATCTTCACGTCGCATAATACTCAGTAGTAACTACTCCAGTTTTTAGGTGGAAAAAATGCCTAAAACTACTCATATATCTTAGGAATTACACCACTGAAAAGATAATTTCACTTGACTTCTTCCATTTTCTAACGTCTGAACTTTCTAAAATTTAAGGACTTGTCCCTAAGTTTTAGAAAGTTTAGAAAGTTACTTTATATAGTCTCCCGTTTATGATTACGCACCTCGGTATGCAATTATCAGAATTTCTGGGTTACACGGGTTCGAATCTCATAAGGCATATGAGTTCCTTCACTGTCGTTGCAGACTCACCTTGCTGACTGGTGATTGGCGCCAACAAGCGTGATATCTAGATCAGCCTGGGCTTCCTGCTGATTCCCTCCAATTATCGAATACCCACAATTAACAGTGCACTGTGATGGGGAGCCACCTAGCCTACTGGGAGCCTCATTGCAAACTTCACTGATACAATT